GGTGAACAATTTTCCAATGCAACTATAATAGGTACAAGCAATGAGAATTGATTGAATATTGTGGAACTTACCTTTCAGATTTTCTATTCCTCATTTCAGCACTGAGGAACTGTGGAGATTTTCTAGTATGTTAGAGACATAAAAATAATCAACCATTTCCAAATCAATTTTCGGTAGATTATCTGATGAGCCTTTTACAAATCCTGATTCAACGTTCATGTTTGTATTCAATATATCAATAATATTATTATGTATTAATATGATATAAAGCAAAATTTGAAGGTTAATTTCATTACGTGTCTTCTCTTCTCATTTTAGACGACATAAATAACTTCGGAATCGGAATTCGAGACTCGATGCAAATGCAGCTCCATGTGAAACGGGTCAACAAAGCAATGTTGCTGCGTTCATGAAATATATTGGATTATTGTGAAATTGTCATGGTGCAAATGGTTTTGAGATTGAGAAATTTCGTTGTTTAGATATTGTTTATATTCTAATGATTCAACCTACCATCGACAAGTTGAATATATTTTTCTGCAGTAGTGGTAGTTGATATCAAAAGATATTTTAATATCGATTTCGATCTCTCGGATATTTTGTTTAGATGATATGGCAACAGTGATAAGTGTCACACATGGGTCACTCTATGGGTCACGCTCATTGGTTCCACGCGAGATGAGGTTTCTACGTCATAAAGAGGGTCCGTTTTCAGAAGGTACTACTATTTGAGTCCAAAAATAAAACATTCCAGTTAATTTTTAGATGGAATTATGTCGCCAATCGTTATTTATGTTTAAAAGGATCATTATAAACATGGTTTGAGTTGAAAGTTCTACTAAGGTGTACACGCCCATTACATCATCCCAATCCGTTTTTTGACGCAAATGTCTTGAAGTTAAATCCTTGCTCTTATAGTGAAATCACCCAGGAAGCCGAAGGGGTCGAAAATAGACATGACTATCTTGAGAACTTCACGCTTCGTTGCATCATTCCTTCCAGCTAGGGCACCCAGGTCAGTTTTTTTTTCATTTCATGGAAAATGAAAACTCATCTCTATTGGATCACACATCAAACCCAGAATCCTCTCAATAGGCAATGCGGTTGCTTCCTCAAGGTCCATATTCTTCGAGTGCAGGCTTCTAAGCTCTTCTGGAATACTTTTCACGACTTCCTTGGAGTTCGATGACTATTTCCTTATCACGAAACCTCCTCGACGATGGACTTCAATAACATCGGCTATTTGAATTTCGGTTTCCTCCTCAGTGTCTACGCTGTCTAGGTAGTCGTCCATGTAGTGAAGATCTGTGATGGCTCTTGCAGCTTCAGGTAATTCTGTATCAAACTCCATAGCATCCCTCCTCATGACCTATTGGGCAGACGTTGGTGAAGATACGGACCCAAAAGTCATTTCATATTCATCAGGTTCTCTATTTCTTTCTCTTTCTCTCCACAAGAAACGCTGACAGCATGTGTCTTCTTTTATAATCTGTACTTGGTGGAACATTTCCATTATGTCTCCTGTAAAAGCAATATTCCTCTGCCTGAATTTGAACATGACACCAAGTAACGAGTTGAGCAAGTCTGGCCCCTTGAGGAGGACATCGTTGAGACTGACTCCCATGGTTTTTGTAGCAGCATCAAAGACGAAACGAATTTTTCCAGGTTTATTGGAGTTGATTACTGCAAAATGTGGCAAGTACCATATGTTTTTCTTTTGCTGTTTCACCTCCATAGGTGACAGTTTTCTTGCGTAGTTCTTCAGGACATAACTCTTCTCATACTCTCATACTCTTCGGCGAATTCAGCATCTCTGTCCATTTTTTCCTCGATGGAGAGCAGTCAGTTTATTGCTGATGTCTTTTTATTCGGTGAATGGACATCGTCGCTTCTCCATAACAGCCCGGTTTCCCACCTGTTCGAGCTTATTCTTCTAGTAGTTTTTTCTAAGATTTCTGTGGCTCGTTAATCTGATGAATTTTGAAGATTTTGACAATTAACGATACCAAGATTATCGATTTCGAATGAATTCTTCACCAACTCATGAAGATCGTCGTTCTCATGATGAACAAATAGAGAAAATTCATCGATGCGACCTGAGTGAGGTTTTTGGATGTTTCCATGTACCACCCATCCCAATGTAGACTCAAACAAAATGGGTTAGTTTTTTCCTCCTTCGTAGACTTCTCTGGCAATAATCAGGTCGATGTTGTCTTGTCCAATTAGAATGAGGGGTTTTGTATTCACCAGTGACGGCAAGTTAACTTGGTTGATATATTTACAATTCTTGGCGATATTTTTCATATTCACAGTTTGAACAGGAAGACACAAATCGCATACTGTACGAACATTAGACATGACGTACTCTGTATCACTATTCTGTCCTTTGATGCTTATGGTTACTCTCCGTGAATTCCACACCTCACTAGTCATTGAATTCATCCATGTGGTTTTCAGTACCTCTGTAGGTCCGACGGCACCAATTTTCATAGCTGCAGCCTCATCCAGCATAGTTACCGTTGAACCTTCGTCAAAATGAGCGTAAGTATCAATTCTTCCATCTGGACCGATGATTTCAACTGAGCTAAAACAAACTCTGCTCCTCTTCACCCATTCCCATCGAGACTCTACATCTAATTTCTTGAAATCGTCACATTCCTCCACTTTATGTCCTTCTTTTTTGCAAAATTTGCATTTCAATATTGGCTTTTCATCATGTAAAGAAGTCGTACATATATATTTCTTTTTTTCTGTCGCTGCTTCACTGTTTTCTTCTAACCACTCGAAGGAATCCATGATCGTGATGAGTTCACCAGGTGCTTCATTTTTTTTCTTCTCAACGATATTCCGTCCCCATTCCATTTTCAAAGCAGGAGTCAGCTTATCAACGAGATCATTCAAAAGCTGAGGGTTTGTTAAGTATTCTTGACCTTTCAGACTTTTCAGTGTCACTGCCAGATTCTTCACTTTGATTGAAAAGTCAAAAATGTTACTCAGTTTGTCGTCTCTCATCATAGGAATTTTAACCGCTGACTATATTAGCTCTTGAATGATAGTTTCTGGCCTACCAAATCGATTTCGTAAGGTTTTGATGATCTCATCAACTTCCTGGGTGAAGCTTGAAAGGGCATTGACAGACTCCTTAGCTTTGCCTCTCAAACTTTTCTGAAGTCGGATGATATTCTCAGCGTTTGATAATTCACAGATACGTGATGAGTCGTTGAACTAAGTAATGAAATTCATCCATTCTCCAGGCTCTCCCGAAAAGGTTGGAAGATCTTTACTGAAGGTTTGGCGTCCCATGAATTTTTTCACTTCGATATATTCTTGGACGTGATTTGAAGGATGAAGATCATCCATAGAGTTGACCCATCTTTGGACATACGAAGATTCGGATGTAACTGTTCGGACATCATCAACATCACCTTTGTTAATTGATGCACAAGTGGATGCACGAGTAGATGCACGAGTGGATGCACGAGTAGATGCACGAGTGGATGCACGACTGGATTGACATTTTTCATCTAACTCCGTTTTTTTTCAAAGCTATTTCCTTTTCAATCACATTTTTTTCTCAGCTCCAACTGCTCCATTTCTATTTCCGCTAATTCTTTTTCTTGCTCTAAATCTAATTCTAGTTGTTTTCTTCTCACAGTACTCGACAAAGCGCTAGCGCTAGATTTAGTTTTCGACGAAAACGTTACGTGTGAGTTTTTATCTTCCATGATGGACTTTCTTGACATAGATTTGCTATTTTTCACATTAGAGGAAGATTTTTCATCGTCGGACATTACGTTTTTATTTTTTGTTGACCTCTCTTCTCTTTTTTCATCACCCTTTCTTCCATTTTGTTTCTCCTCCATATCAATCATAAATCGAGAGGGCGGTTGACCTCTGTTTATCCTCCCACTTCTTCTGATTGATTGTTCATTCGGAGGTAATGATTTGGCGGACATTCTTAGGGCTGTTCTTCATCTTGAAGGACCACTATGTGTGCGTTTGCACTAGGTTTCGGAGTTTGCACTGGTTTGAAACCGTTCTTCTCTTGAAAAATATCAGCACAGACAAGACAGATTTCTGAGTTTTTTACTGACATTCAACAACCTCCAATCACAACAAAATTATACAGAATGATGAGATTATTTATGAATCAATTTTATTCCAAAGAACATAAACTTTCCGCAGGAGCATTTGACTTCAAGTGTACTTTGGGATTTCTTTCGTACCTTTTTTAACAAGGTCTGATTTATAACGTTGTTTTGCTTGCCTGATGTCTTCGGAGTGTGCATTGGACAAGGAACGGTGAACATCGTAGTCGTGAGGATCGCCTGTTTCTTTGTATTTGTGCCAAATTCAACGTTTCCTGTAGGCTCGTTGGATGAGTTGATTGTCAAAGGTTTTTCAGTATTCGTTATCTGTTTAACGAAATACGTCCCAGTGTCCTTGAGAGATCAGCATGATTCATTCTAGGAATTGTTTCAAAATCAAACTGCTTATCATGGCGGTGAAGCAAAGGCAGGTTTTGTGGGACAAGACCACCGAAGAGTTTGAAGATAGACAGAAGACAAAAAAACTGAAAAATGAAATTATGAAATCGGCATTCTAAAATATTTGGAAAATGTCCTCTCGTCTGCTCTTAACGAAACGAATGATGTGTGAAATGCTCCCACTGCTTTTCGCTCTCCCATTAATGGATAAATTCACAACTTCCTAGCTCGTGCCTTCTTATATTCTCGATGTCTGTGCAGGGCGTACGCAACCACAATTTTCTTGCGAAAATCCATGTGTACCACCGTTCTGACTGGCGCACTTACTCACCGTCTTCCGTGTGCAAATCATACACGATTTTTCTGCCAGCCAGCAGAATTACCGCCTGGCAAATACACCGCTCGTGTGCAAGGGGCCTTAGGGTCCTCCATCTTTCGACCCTTCGAGGGACCGTGGTCCGCCTGTTGCCGACCGTACATCCAAAATTCCGACACTGTTGACTTAGTTCTCACATGGGTGTGGCTGCGGAAGATATGGTGCAACCTAATGATGAGATCGATTTAGATAAAGTCCCAGCTATGGTCGTATCCTACTTACAGATATCCATTGGTGTGCATAGGGTATTTTTCATTCATACAATACTTACGTGCGGCTTGCGTTGAGATTTGGAGAAAACGCGAATAATAAAACATTTCTGGTAGGCTCTTTATACGCGCAATTCGACCATGTGAAGATATCAACAAATATGATTAATTCCGAAATGAAAATAGTCACTTATTTCAAATTCAATCGAACGAATGTGTACACATTTTGTCAAAACTTGAAATATCTAAAGAATATCCTTGGAATACACCGAGTGAAAATCTACTTTGCAATATTTATACATCGATAAGTGGATGAGCCAAATGACTAGAGAAATAAATCAGCTTGACTTACATTTCAATCTTGGAAACGCCTGTCACTCATCAGTGTCAATCAAATTGGGATTTATCAATAATAGGGAGACTAGGGAGGTTTGATACGTGGGGAGGTTTGATACACGTTTAAATTTCCCACCACGGTCCCTTAAAAAAGGCGTAACCGCGTGCAGTGCCGACTGTGACTGTTGAAACAGTGTCTGACAACATCTAGCAACGACTGTGTCACGCTTGAAAGTTTTCAAGATGAAAGTGTGTTTACTATCTATTCGATGTAAGTTTTCGCCTAATAAACCTAAGGCTTTATCTATTTAACAGAAAAAAAATACGAAATTTATTACATTGAGCTTGAAGCGCGTATAGAGACCAGTAGTTCAGATCTTTAACCAAATATCATGATACATTAACGTCATATATTCCCCAAATTTGTCGTCCCGGAAAGTTTGATACAGTTTGCGTCGAGATGGTTGATACACGTATCAAACCTCCCTATATGAAGGGAATGCATATTTGATTTATTCATTTTGAAATTCATAACAATTTATGGAATTTTCACAGTAATTTTTCAGGTTAATTGAGTACATTGTTCTAGATGCCGTTCAAATGGAAATCCCAAGGTAGAACGAAGTATTCCCCAGATGATTTTAGAAGTGCAGTGCATGAAGTAGTGAATGAAAATAAAGGACTAAGGCCTACTGCCACAAAGTACAATGTTGACAAAATGACACTGAAAAGATATGTTTCCAAATACCAACAAGATAAAGGTGTCACTTTCTCACCAAATTTTGTCACGTCACAAATTTTTACACCTCATGAAGAATCGCTATTATCGGAATATTTGCTCACTTCTGCAAACCTTTACTATGGTTTCACACCTGAGCAAACAGGAGAATTCGCGTATCAGTTTGGCGAAGAAAACGATAAAAAATTACCAGAAAATTGGAAGGAGAACGAGTGTGCTTCCTACGACTGGCTATAAGGTTTCATGTCACGTCATACTCAATTATCATTGAGAAGTCCTGAAGCCACTAGCTTGGGCAGAGCAACTGCGTTCAATCGACATGATGTACAAGAATTTCACAAAAATTTGCGCAATCTACTGAAAAGAGAACCTTCTGGTCCAGAATCCATTCATAACTTAGACAAAACTGGAGTGACTACTGCTCACAAACCCCAGAAGAGCATTGCTCGTAAAGGACAAAAAAAATGCAAAAACTACTTCTGCAGAACGTGGAACACTAGTAACAGTTTGTTGTGCTATGAATGCATTAGGAAATTCAGTGCCTCCATTATTTATATTTCCTCGTGTGAAAATGCAGCATTACATGATCCAAGGTGCTCCTCCAGGATCCATTGCTCTGACGCATGAGAGCGGTTGGATGACCATTGATAATTTCGTGAAATTCCTAGATCACTTCATACAACATGTGAAATATTCTGAAGGAAATAAATGTATATTGATCCTCGACAATCACGATAGCCATATTTCACCCAAAGCCACCGATTGCAGCCACTGGACGTATCGGTTTTTGGTCCATTTAAGAGATATTATAACGAACAGGCAGATGCATGGATGGTCAGTCATCCAGGACGAACAATTTCATTGAAACATATACCTACCGGAATTAGTTGGATTAGCTTATGTTAGAGCATTTTCACCTCCACATATAACTAAAGGATTTTTCACCACAGGAATTTATCCCTTCAACCAACATTTATTTGAAGAACTCGATCTCGCAGGAGCGGAAGTTGCAAACAGACCGTATCAGGGAGTAGGGAAAAACACTGAAGAAGAACCTGATATAGATTTCCCAACAGTTCAACCCGGCATATCTCTATCTCAGCAGGAGTCACCAGATGTAGATGACCCAATAGCTCAACCTGGCACATCGTTATCTCAGCAGGAGTTACCGGATACAGATGACTCAACAGCTCAACCTGGCACATCGTTATCTCAGCAGGAGTTACTGGATACAGATGACCCAACAGCTCAACCTGGCACATCTTCTTCCCAACAGGAGTCAACTTCAAATGCACTTTTCTGAAAAATACCGCTACTATCTATTCCAAGCACCACGTCTGCTTGCAGGTGGCAGAAAGCCTGGCCGGACCTGAATTGCACCAGACACCCCGGAAACAGATGCCATTGATGCCGAATATAATATGAGACGAGAAAAAAAACAGACGAAAACAAAAATATAACATGTTAAACGAGAAATAACTAGTGAAACTGAAAAAAGTGAACTTTTCGAACAACACAATGCAGGGTGTAGTAAATCCCACCTTAAAAGAAAACTTTTGAACAGAAATGCAAAAACAAATAAGAGTGTATTTGATGACTCGGATCCTGAGGACGAGAACGAGAATGATCCATTCACTGATGCAGATGACGATGCAGCTTGCATCTACTGCAATTCGTTATTTTCAGCTTCTCGTCCTCGAGAACAGTGGATTCGTTGCCAGCAACCCATATAGCACGAGCACGTTCCCGAAACATACTGAGAACGTCCGGCCAAGACGTTTCGTACGTACTGGGGTCGTCCAGATTTGGTACGGTCGACGTTCAGGTACCTACTGGGACGTCTAGATTCTGCGCGTTTGTACATCCTCAGTACGTCCATTCAGGACCATGGATTCATGAATCAACGTAGATGCGCCTCTTTTCACTCAGATAGTTAAAAAAGAGACTTGGATAAAGTTGAAAGTCCTATTTTGAATAAAAAAAAATTTAAAAACGCTTTCTCCGAGGACCGGTCCCACGATCTTTAGATCACCAATAAAAAAAACTCAAAGTCTATTTATTTGATCTAATGAATGAGTTACGTCACACATAAATACATTTCACATTCCAGTATGGGGAGTATGCAGTCTATATACCGTGTTTATATGGGGGTTTGCATATATCTATCCTCTGAACTGTGCGGAGGTGGCTATTGTCGGCCAGGGAATGTGAATGTTAGTGTGTTGCGTTCGTTTCAGAGGCCGATCTCCTAGGGCATGGCCCTTCATATCGGTAGTCTCACTGATTGTACCCAAGGGGTGGGTGGCATCGATCATGTTTATCAGTGGCGAGATTCTCGGTGTTCGTTAGATCACCAGCCAGATGATCAACCCATTACTCTGAAGATCACTTGTTGATTGATAGTATACATCAAGCATTATTATGTGTGAATTCCGATTGACTCATCACATCAATACTTTTATGGAGTTAGATAATCACGGCAGAGAATACCTAAATAGATGTTTCGTGATCTGGTGGGGCCAGAAAATAATGAATTTATTGTGAGCATTGTATCATGTTTATGTTTGCAAGGTTCCTATATGAATAAATTTCAGAGATCGAGGGTAGAAATTATATATGCAATGATTTCGATTATCAATAAACAATTCATTCAATCTCGTAAACAAAAAGTCGATAATGTTCAGAGTTGAACGTACCCATTACATCGGAATCATACGTACCCAGTACGTCCATTTCAGTACGTCTCGAAAAGGTCCCGGACGTTCAGACCTAAATGGGACCTAAACTGGAAGTCCCCAGGACGTCGAGTGCTATATGGGAATGTCGAAAATGGTGCCATTCAGCTTGTGCAGGTGTCTAATGTAAGATAAAAATGTTTACTTGCGGATTATGTATCAATTGGGTAGTGTTCTGATAATAAAACATTGCGTTCTTATTATCACTTATACCTAATTTCTTACTGTATCAAACCTCCCATTTAGTGTATCAAGCCTCCCATATATAGGGAGGTTTGCACACTTTGCACCGACAAATGGATTATCATGGTTGAAATTCATATTTGCGGTGATTGTATATTGTAAATTGTATCAACCCTTCCCAGTCTCCTACAGATTCGAATGGTAACTAGAATATCGTATGGGTGTTTCATTTTGTGACATGTGTATATTTGCTAGTCCAAATACCTCATTATTCTTGGAAAAGCATCTTTACAATACATGGAGGCACTTTTCAGGATATTGATCGTAAGTTCTTCAAAAGGTGACCACAAGACAGTTGATTCCAAAATTTTGTAGGCATCTGTATTCCTTATGAATTTATTATTCGAACATTACACCTCGTTCACCTAACTTTCGAAAATTCCGAAAAACTTCCAATTGTCTCTCAAGAAATGATAATTCAATTTCCGAAGATACATTCTTTTTTATATACATACAAACACTATATCAAATATCAACAGCATTTATCGTGCTTCAACAAATTGGCATGCATTCAGGGATGCATATGTATCTCTTCATTTTTATATCACCAGTATAGTTGATTGGTAACATATGTACAGCAAATTGCACAAAAAATGGCCAGGGTTATAACTTATGAATCATTGGACCTAGGATTTTGGAATTTTTTACCAGTAAGTATACCAAATTGTTCATTTACTGACAAAAAATATAATTTTTTCACTAATGGTACAAACAGAAGCAACCCCAATTTTCTATTCTCGAATAGGTCAACCTGATGAGGATAGGGAACGAAATACGTACAGTAGAAACATACTAAGGGAATAAGGCATCTAATGACCAATGCCCTTCTAGGATGTACAAAGAATTCATCAGTTCGCTGTTAGATTCACCTTCTGATATGCTATTAGCTGTATTGAATGACGTGAACAAATTCATCCCAGAAGATTTATATCCTACAGAACAGGAATATATTGTTAAGTGAGAGATCCAGATTGATCAGCGTTATTCATAAATTTGGCTTCAAATGTGAACAAATTGAATCTAGAATCAATTTCCTCTAAGAGCCAACGAGCTGCTCGTTCACAGTCTGACCCAGTTCTCTTCACTTCCTTGCGGACCATCAGAAATGATTTATAAATCCTAAATGATAGTTCTAGTAGGTCGTGGTGAAAAAGTTCAGTGTAGCAGAGGACAAGGAAAATATCTTGAATTCACAGCAGATCAAATGAAATAGGCATGAGATAAGTGATAGTTTTGTTTCTTATCATGACTGAGAACTTTGATGATTACAAACATGTACCTCAAGTATTTGAATAGGTATTTGCTCATATAGAATTTGACAATGCTATATCAATTCTGAATCCAGTACCATCAATTTTTTTTGTGGACAAGTAGAAATTTCACGGAAATTTCTACACTGAAGAAAATCGCATATATATGTGCTGATGTTTGTGTATACCCCAACTTTCCATCGACCTAACCAGAGGTCCTTCAGCTCATCGTATACTCTGTAGGCTTATTGACAGTCTTCATATTATTGAATTAAACGCCTTTTTATTTATTCAGTGACTTATATTTATTCGACGTTATAAATCTGACATATATTTATAAATTGCCACCATTTCAAAAACAAAATACATAGGGATACTAAAAACAATGAACAGCCAAAGTGATCCAAATCCAACATCCTCCCCTCAACTGATTAATCGAAACCATAACGTGTAGGGGGATTTATTTTGCGCCCTGTTCTCGTAACAGGGTGGTCTCCTTCAGTTTTTTCAGGTCCTTCCATTTTCTTTATACATTCTTCCTTCTTCTCTTCGTGATCTCTCTTCTCATCCTCTTTAGTTGTTTTATTCTCATGCCTTTCTCCTGTCTCTCCTGGTAGATATGTTTCAGTCTTGTTCAATACTTCCTTCTCTTCTACTTCCATTGGAAATAAACGTTGAAAAGGACGTACTACATCACCATTCATTGTTTTTACTCTGGCAACTCTTGATGATCCGTCTCTTCCAGAGATGATGTCTGTTATCCTTCCTAAGGGCCAATCAACTCTCTTCGTATTTTCTGACTCAATCAGCACAATTTCGCCAACTTTCAACTCACGGGGCTTCCTGTGACCAGTATTGACCAGTTCTGCTAAGTATTTCTTCTTGAAGCGAGTTCTGGAACCATCGCGTAGTTTCTGAACGTATTTGTATCGTTTTATTAGACTTCCTCTATCAATCTGATCCAAATTCGATAAATCATTGCTTGGAATGTCACAAATAAACATTGATGGTGTTAAAGGGCTTAAATAATTCTGATCATCTGATATGTGTGTTATTGGTCGACAATTGATTATTGATTCGCAATCACACAAAAGGGTCAAAAATTCTTTATAGGATACACATGATTTTCCTAAATTTCTTCTCAATAATTCTTTATTGATTCTAACGAGTCTTTCCCACCATCCTCCCCACTAAGCCGCAGGTGGAGCATTGAAAATCCAGCGGATTCTCTTGATAGTGGAATACTCTAGAACCCTGTTCCATTCTATTCCTTTCAAGCGGTTTTGTGAACCATGAAAATTAGAGGCATTGTCAGAGTATATGGTGGACACTCTACCCCTGCGAGCTGTAAAACGTCTTAGAGCTAATGAAAAGTCATCAGTGGAGAGAGACTTGACCAGTTCAAAATGAATCGCCCTATAAACTGCACATGTGAATAATACTATCCACGATTTTTCTCCATTTTTCAAGTACAAGGGTCCAGCTAAATCTATTCCAACCACTTCAAATGCAGCTCTACAAGTGATTCTATCTTTTGGTAAAGGGGCAAAAGGCGTTTCTGTAGATTTACTTTTATACCTTTTACAAATGATACACCTTGAAACAACTTTTCCCACCATTTTTCGACCTCTAGGTATCCAGAATCTCTCACGAAGTATGCTCAATGGTGTTTGACTTCCTGAGTGGAAATTCTGACGATGATGTTCTTCTATGAGCCGCTCAACAATCTTATGCTGACTGGGTAATAAAATAGGGTATCTGGAGTTCTCTGAATAGTCACCAAGAATTAGTCTTTTTTTGACTATCCACAAACCATTCTCATCTTCTATTATTTGCATTTTTGGTATTTTTTTCATGTCACACCCAAAACTCTCACGTTGTATTATTTTCAATAATCTCCATTCAGCTTCTTCTATTTCATCCACTAAGAGTTTACCCGATTCATTTGAAATTTTGTTCCTTGAGTTATGAATGAATCTCAACAACCATCCAATCATTCTCAGAATTTTAGAATATTTTGAAAAATATAGAAATTCATTTGTTGACATGTTTTCTCTTTTCCTTATCCATTTCTT